TCTCAAACCTCAAAAACAAATTTGGCCACGAAGGCCTAATTTTCATCAAACTCAAAAACCTCATAAATTCTTAAATCAACTTTAAATACATTGAATCACATATTGAAAACAATGAAGATAATACTTCCCATACTTAAACAACCTCAAAAACAGATTTGGCCACGAAGGCCTAATTTCCTCAAACTCAAAAACCTCCTAAATACTTAAATTGACTTTAAATACATTGAATCACATATTGAAAATAATGAAGGTAATATCCCATACTTAAACAACCTCAAAAACAGGTTTGGCCACGAAGGCCTAATTTCCTCAAACTCAAAAACCTCCTAATACCTTAAATTGCCTTTAAATATATTGAATCACATATTAAAAACAATGAAGGCAATACTCCTCATACTTAAACAACCTCAAAAACAGGTTTGGCCACGAAGGTCTAATTTCCTCAAACTCAAAAACCTCCTAAATCCTTAAATCAGCTTTAAATACATTGAATCACATATTGAAAACAATGAAGGTAATATTCTCATACTTAAACTACCTCAAAAACAGGTTTGGCCACGAAGGCCTAATTTCCTCAAACTAAAAAACCTCCTAAATCCTTAAATCGGCTTTAAATACATTGAATCACATATTGAAAACAATGAAGACAATACTCCTGATACCTTAATTGTCGACTCTAAGTCTTTCTCCTTCATTCTTGTAAACCTCGTGAAGCTTTTGCCTCAATCCTCTTTCTCAGAGCTCTAGCCTCTATTTCTTCCCTTTTCACGGTCTAACAAGAATGAATCCTAATTCCCTCAAAATTCCTTTTTGTTAAACCTAACTTTGGGTCTTTAAAATGAGCTTTCCAATTTCACCCTCACTAACTCCTCCTCAAATGTCCACTTTGCCCTTAAATTAACTTATATTTATTTAAAATAAATAATACCAAATATATTCATATTATATACTATTATTTAAATAAATAACTGAAAACTCCATAATTCTCAATATTCACACCAACCACCGAAAATCACCAAAAATATAAATATTCATATTTAAATAAATTAAATAAATATTCCACGAATTTGAGGTGTTACATTGGAGATATCTAATAGATAGTGTATTTTATGCGGAGGAGGATGAGTATTGTCGTTGGCCATACCTGGTGACCACTGTTATGTGCAGTGGAGGCTAGGATTGCTGTTGGCCATATCTAATGGATTCTATTATCCATTCAGTGAAGGCAAGGACTACCATTAGCCATATCTAACAGATAGATCTCTGTGGTCAATTTTGGGCTAATTACCATTGTGTTACAGTTTGTATTCTTGAATAGTGATTCATTAAGTTTATGTGAAATCATGTTATGTGTTTTTCATACGAAGCGCAAATTCCCTTAGATGCTTAAGTCCTTGTTCTATTGTGTATGTGCACACAAGTAGGATGTAAATGAAAGGCTTAAATTAAGAATCAATAAGAAATCCTTTTAGATTCGAGTGGGCCCATATGATAGGGGAATTCACTAAGATTATTATCACACCCTGTTATCATCGGTGTTTTTCAGGAGTTTGTTGCAGGTTAAGGTAAGTAGGCATTGTCTGTTGATATTTCGAAGACCTTTGCGATCATGATCTTCCGCTATGGATTATGTGTAATTGTAGATATTGCACATGGATCTTAGTTTTTATTTAGGGACTATTGTATAACATGTGTCATAGCTATATTTTTTGTTTAGACGTGTATATATAATGATGTCGTAGACACTTGTGTTGTATCAGTACCACTTGTACTGTATTTTTTTGTTTGGACAAGATGTAACAGAGAGACATATGTCTCTGATGTGTTTGAGTTTGATTTTCAAAACACTGAAATTGTCCGATTTGCAATCAATAGAATATCAAATCTCTTGCATTTGAAAAATAGAATAGAATCAAAACTAGGGTATGGTCCTGTATCACAAATTATATGTCAAAATCATTTTTTTTAAAAACAATCACATTAAAATTTACCCGTTAAAAGTTCAAGACGATGAAGATGTTTAAAATATGTTTGTTAGTCACGAAAATTCTGGTTTCAACTATATTGAGGTGTTTACTTTACTCCAACAAACTCTTCTATCTCAACAATCTAAGATAATTGATCAAGTTGAATCTGAAGTTTTTAGATTCACATGAATCTGAAGCAGAAGATTCAGATAAATCTGATGCAGAAATCATATCCCTAACATCATTATCATCTTTAACTCACACTCACATACGCTGTTTAGCATTATTATCATCTGCAATTGCGATGTATGAAACAAGTCTTTTAATACTTCTAATTCTTTCTCCATCATTAATCTTTTTGTATAACCAACTTTTCAAACTCCTTTAAATATGCTTGTAACTTTGGATTATTCAAAAATGCATTTTCATCGGAGGCTTTGTTGGCGAGTAACATACATGTTCATTTCGTTTAACAATCATGATAGTCCTATTGAAGAAAAGACAAGAAGAATATGAAAAAAAGATGTGGAGTAAATGGTAGAAAGCACGTCTATTTATATTATAAAAAATCTAACACATAGTAGTCAATTAAATTGGTGCCACCACTAAGATGTTGTATATAGGCGTCAGTTGAATTGACGCTAACACTTAAATGACTTAATATCCTTTTTGATCCCTTATTTATACCTCTGAGTCTATTTTGATCACTTTTCTTTAAAAAGACCAATTAAATCCTTTATCTTTCAAAAACGCGACACGTTTGTCCTTTCTCTTAAAACCGTTAGTCAAAGTCAAAACTGTGTGACACGTAGCGTTGATTTTGTCAAGGTGAAAGTCACATGTGTGCCACATAATAAATAAAATTTATTAAAAAAATGCAAAACAAATTAAATCAAATAAAAAAATAGTTAACATTAACCCTTAACATTTCTTCAACTTTCTCTTTCATCTCTCAAACTCACGCACTGAAACCCCTCATGGATGCATCTGTGAAGTCAGAATTGAAATCCACAATCGTTTTGCTTGATCAGTAAATATACAGTGAATGGTTGTTTACACTCGATTCAAAAGGTCTCTCAATCTGTGTAATAGTTTTTTCGTGGATGTTGATTATAAGATATTCACAGAAGACGAAGAGAAGTCGTGGAATTGAATAACGAAGTCAATTGTTGCACGTGGAGTAGAATAAGGGGTCGATAAGGAATTTCAAGCGGAATACACGATCGGCTATGAAAAGGAAAGTTGAGTCTGGTGAGAAGACGATGGTTGTGTTAGAACAAAGAGGTGTTGTCGTTGTAAGTGCAAAAGACGATGTTGTGGTGCCAGTGAGAAATTTTAAGCGGTTTACACATTTAGCAATGAGAGAAAAGGGTGAGTCCTGCGAAGGGACAATGACTATGGTAGAACAACAAGGTGTTGTAGTTGTTAGTGGTAAAGGCGATGCTGCAGTGTCAATGATAAATTTGAAGTCGTTTACACGATCATCCAAATCTCACTAATCTTTCACTCTTTCCAGATTCACACTTAGAAAGAAGAGATTCTAAAACTAATTTTTTTAATTGATAACAATTTTGTTTCTAGAATGTCTTTTACTCAATGTTATTTATTACAAAAATCCATGACCGATCAAATAAGATGATGATAATGATTTTGTTTGTGATAATGATCTTTTCTAGGTTTGGAAAATTTGGGATTTTCATGGGTTCAAAGAAAACCATGAAGATGATGACTAGGATGTCATATAAGCAAAAATTGACACTGTTAGTGAGAAGTAGATGGAAAAGATGAATATGACACGATTTGAAGAAATAAAGGATCAATAGGTCATTATAAAAGAAAAGGGATCAAAATAGACACAAAAGTATAAGTAAAAGACTAAAAGGGATATTAAACCCACTTAAATCATGAATGCAGTCGTCAATTCAATTGACAACACTGTCTATTTTCTAATTAAAGTCGTCAATTCATCTAATAACAACTCTTCTTGTCTTTTTTAAAAGTAGATTACTTTGAAAAATATGTGAAAAAGGTGGTTATTATAGAAACTTATATGAACAATTAATTATTTGCATAAAATTTTCACACAATTTTCCATGAGTAGAAATATTTTAAGTTGTAATGTGTATATAAATCATTCATTTATAAGGATTATTTATATATATATATATATATATATATATATATATATATATATATATATATATATATATATATATATATATATATATATATATATATATATATATATATATATATATATATATATATATATATTTTTTTTTTTTTTTTTTGCCTTTGTATACTAATTCTAACTCATTATAATGTTAAATATCGCAAATGCAAAAGAAATTATGCAGTATCACGCTCGTTGGGCGGGTTAACATCTAGTTATTGATTAGTTTTAAACACATCTCCAACATTAACAATTAAATATCAATAGTCTCTATAACTCCAGTAGAGGGACAACTCTGATAACATTTTACAATCTGAATTAGTAAAATATCAATAGTCTTTATAAATACAGTAGAGGGACAACTCTGATTTACATTTTACAATCTCAGAGATATTTTAAAATATTGATATTTTAGAAAACCTAGTCAATGCACTCCAATTTTTGAGACTAAATTGGATGTTTTCTCAAAGTTTTTGCAAGTATTATCAATAGTAATATTAAAAACCAATAACACTATACACACCAAGCACTCACTGCCCATATATCAACAAGCAGCACCAAATTGGGAAAAACAGTAACAGCCCTAAGAAGCACAAGCATAACATCTTCCAAACTGTCCAATGTTACAATAAAATCAATCCAAATCAACCCTATGAAATGTGTGGCTGACATCCAAATGGCAGCTGCAGGATGGTCCAACAGCGACAGCAAATAGATAGCAACTTGATTGTCAGCATCGAAACTCTCCCTCCAAATAGACAATGACGAGGGAAAATTTACCTGACAGAAGGCCGCATGCCATATAATAACTTCACAAGTAACAAAATTTTGAACTTGTTGTAAAATAAAATGTACTACTGCTAACTTAAACCAGGAAGTGTAGGACGTGGTCTGACAACATTCATAACCCCCTTTGCAGTTGACTGTAAAGGGACAAAAGAATATACAGTAAGACACAAGGATCTCAATTGAACTCAACTGTAAAATTGAGAATGTGTCAGATTGTTTTACCTCAAAGAAGGAATTCAAATTTAGCCGCAAGAGAAAACGTCTCAAAAATGGAGTCCGCTGACTTCCAGCAAGTCGGCTGCTGCGCAGTATAGTGTACAAGGAATTTGATTTCTTGTTGAATTCCTAATAATGTTGAAGTTAGAAAAAAAATGGAAATGATGAATACACAAACAAAAAGATAAATTTAAGGGAAAGAGACCAGATTCTAAAATGTAGCGGAAACTAAAAAGGCCCGGTCAAGTGCAACAAAGAAGAAAAAAGACAACCTACTTAATAAAATGGTATAATTTATATATCTATATGAAGATGTATGAGGAAAGTAATCTATTTTTGGTTAGATTCTTATTTATATACATTATTATTTTGGTAAAACCAGAAATGCACCATCACCTCAGCTATATGATCCAGTTCAGAAGTATTTGAGAAGTTATCTTGGTTCTCAATATTCCAGCAAAATTGCAGGCAAAGCTTCATGATACCATCCAGTATCCTTGAAACAGAACCAATGTCCAAGAAAGTTTGGGAAATCAAGGCTGATAGATACCTACAGAAAACATTAAAATTATGTAAAAAAAACAAGGATGCAGTAATTATATTTCGGTAAACAGTTACTAGAAGGAATACAAGCAAACCATCACAACAGGCTCATAATGCATGTAGAATAACAGTTAAAACGCTCTGGCACCTGGGAATTGCTTCCGGAGAGAATAAAGTGCATGTAAACTTCCTATTTCTCCTCATTAAACTGGCTATATATTGTAGAGAGCAGTGTTGTCAATTGTGATTCGCAGAAACTAATGGTTTGTTTAAATTCTGCTACACAACAATACTCTAGCCGCTATTTGCCAATATTTTGTACTAAATAGGAAATACATATCGTAGAAAAATAGCAATTTGTTCAATTCCGCCATACTATAGACCCGCTATTCAACAACAAAGCTAGAGTTGTTTTCCTTAATCCTTAGCAATTGTACTATGTCAGATACAGAAAACTGAAACCAAGTTATCTTCAACCACGAAAGTTAGAATATGATCCTTAGTCTTGACAGGTGATAGCAATAGGATAGTGATTTGATGGTCACCAAGGAGCTATATTAATTTGGATAAATATACAATTGCTTTGATAATCATTTTATGCATGTGATAGTAAAACAGTTTAGCAAACAATACAGTAAGTCGTCGTAAAATGTGAAAAACTAAAATTATGAAATTGAGAAATTATTACTCTTGATGAAAGCCCACGAGTTCCGTAAAGTCGTGAGAATCTTGAATATGAGACTGTAGAATATTCCACTGGGACTCTATCACATCCACCTGTAAAGGAAAACATAAATAATGAATGTGAAACACTCGCCATAGAGATACGGTACACACGCCAAAGAACTGTCATTAAGATACCATTCAGTGCTTCATTTGCTCAATTCACACAAACTTAAGATGCACCCGGCGCGCATTTGCATCCAAACAAACATATGAACATCGAACTAGTGTATAGATCACACAACTACTTTGAAGCTCAAATAATATTTGTAGTAATCTAATAAACTAAACATACATAGCACAAGATATGAATGACAACCTGAATATAAAATTGGAGATTTCTGATTAAGAATGCCATATGTTCTCTAACACGCCACATTGATCGAAATCTTTGATCCCTCTGCTGTGTCATTGGGCTTTTGTCTTGGTCTTTATTTTTACTTTTGGCAAAAATGCTATGATACTGATGCATTACTGATGCCCATAACTTCTCCAACTCCATTTGTGTTCGTTTAAGCCGCAGTAAGTATTGGAATACTTTAAGGTACCTGTTAAAAGAAAAGTTTTGTTGTATAAAAAGGGATCCTAGTACATCTAAATAACTAGGAAGAAAAAAGAACCCATCCTCGACTGCAGGATAATATCAGCAGTGTCTTACTTGGAGAGGACTTCTTGAGTAAAAAACAAATGCAAAGGCCAATCAACAGAATACTGGAGAGCAATACCATCCCAACCATCAACTGACATTTCTGAAAGTGAAGCACCAGAGATGCCATCTACAGCAGCAGAGGTTGCCTTTGGTAAATCTAATTGTGAAGATTTAACTGTGATTCCAAAAGATGGCATCCTAGAAGATGAAAAAGACATTTTAGGGCAAATAGCTCATAGCAGCTCAATATGAAGCTAGCACAAGTGAGAGCTTGCATTGCATATCAAAATGAGAACAATAGTGCATATGGATTCTAACCGCAATGACACTTTTGAGAAATATTTGTCTTCTTCACCAATAGTTTTTAATGAAGCCTGCATTGCAAAGGAATTGTATTAACCTTTTGTTGTTGCGTCTAAAAAAGAACATGATTATGTAACAGATATGTGAATGACATTAAGCCATAAATTCACGAGTTAAACAAACCAGTTGAAATGGAACCATAAGATCGGCTTCAGCAGTTGACTGACGAGGTGGCAATCGCATTAACTGTCTACTTTCCTCAAGGAAACACTATACAGAAAATCATAAGTAAACCACGGATATCAGTATAACTTCTTAGGTTTGAACTGCAGTGAGTAATTGATGCATATTCAAGGCACAGAATATTGAGTAAGAAGAAGCAAGAGCTACCCAATGTTGATATAATATTTTAAAGTTCAAAATATTAAGAAAGATCTCCGGATTAACAAATTGGATAGAAATATGGTCTTTGATAGAAACATTATGAGATAAAGTTTGGTTGTTGTTGTAATGACATATGATATGACATTAAACATATGTTCACATACAAGAACTACCCATGACTGGTCAGTTTTCATGAATACAGTACAATTAGTTAAAAGTAATATCATATGATATGACATTAGACATATGCGAGCATATAAGAAAAGTGATAAAACCCACAACTGTTTCCAAGGGTTAAAACAACTCAAAGAGAAAACATATCATAGAAATCACTATCTCAAGGATAGTTATCATACATTCAAAGCTCTTAAACACTATCCTTGAGGTGGAGGATTAAAACAACTCAAAGAATAGTGTTTTCTTAAACACTAAACAACAGTCAACAGGAGCAAACACGGCACTCATAAGCAAGTCCAAACTTAAGCGTAGATCATAGTTCATGCTTTACCTGGAAGAAGTCTCCTTTTGCCAAAAGAAAATAGTCTTTCAGAGCCCTCAGGTGGCCATTCAAGTCGGCACGTACAACCACAAGCTGCACACAAGGATGGAATCGAAGTTGATGGCTTTGAACATAAATGTGCCAAAACCAATGAACATAGGAATCAAATATTCATCATAAGAACCTGCCAGAGATGACTGGCTGCAATAGCCTGAATGGAGTCTGCGGCACACTCAAATGATCTTTTATGAAATTCAGATGACTCCTGCAAGAGTTAACAATAGTCACCTTAAGACTAATCCGAAATGTTAGGGTGAAAGTAAAGCTGACACACAACACATAATTCATGAGTTAGATAGAAGTTAGAACTGAAGAAATACGCAAAAAAAAATGTTTACCAACAATCCAACTACTTAATAAAAAGAGGCTTTCAAAAATCAGCATCAATATGATACAGTAAATTGGAAGGACGCAACACCTTTAGGTCAATAAGCATATTTTCAATCTTATCAGCCTCAGATTGCGGAAGCAAATCTTCTCCACCCATTCCAGTATTAATTATAGACTCTCTTTGAAAATTAAAACGCCCTGCAAATCCATGTATTTTTGGAAAGCTTTTAGGTACTTGAGGAGTGACATCGTCCCGAGACCGGAAAGAAGGACTTGGATTTCTCAGAACCCTGACAGCTTTTCCAGCAAAAAGAATTGATTCTGCAACACGCATGGGTATATATTCTGGCAACATATCCTGCAAAAAAATATTTGTATAAACCTGTTGTAACATTTCATTTTGAAGTGAAGGGCAAAAAGAACTCCATATATTAAATTGGAAAAAAACTACAATTTGTTAAAGAAGAAGACATGGACTTCCCTTAAAGACAAACAAGCTACAAACATTAAGACCCAAACATTTTTCATCATAAAGGCCATGTAACTTGATAACAATTTGCTGATAGTAACAGGAATTACCAGAGAGATATGAAAGCCCATGTGCCAATCAGTTAACGATGCCTCAGCAGTTGATAAACGTGCCAACCTTTCAGAGATTTCTATATGAGGTGAGCTATTTTCTACAGTTCTATCTTCTTGCCTGAAAAATAAATAATTGGGTCAAGACGTCAAGTACATAATTGCAAATCAATTGTAAATATCAGACTTTAGAAAAATCAGATATATCGAATGCTACCAAAGCATCCACAGTTTAAAAGAAGTGAAAAGGATAAACTAATACCAAGATAAATGAGTTTTCATGAATGTATTATGTATGCCATATTTTACCTCCTTAACTTTTTCTATTTTTTGGAGGGAGAGAATGGAGGTCATAAAGACTAATTAGATTTACCTGAAATTTGCATACTTTTATGTCTTAACCGCCTACCTTTCTTCATAATAAGATTTTCCTTATGGGTACATCATCGTTACTGTTATTTTTATTTGAAGTGGCACTACTGGCAATTGTATGAACTATGTCCCTTGAGATTTAACATAGGTTATTAAAAATTATAAGGGGACTACATTCATTTGGATAACTTAGGATTTTAAATGATACCAATAACAATAATAATTCTTTATAATCCAATTCACTAGCATGATTAATCAAGTATAGAATTATTTTCATAAAGGCCTTCTGATGGAACTCAGAAAATGAAGTGATAAATTTGAATGGATTGAATGGAGGTTATTAGATTAATGGAAAAAAGGGGATGCAGTTACAATCATGAACCGGAACAATTGCGCCTACAGAGAATGAATTCTCATACTACAATAATAGAATAATCATGCATGCCTACTCTCTCCTCACACTATATATAATCCCCATGATCTATCAACTTTTCCAGAAATTGTGTGTCATATTGCTTAACTTCTTCCAGATTCTTCTCTAGGACTGTCCCCTGTAAATAAAACAGCTCCTTCCAAAACAAACTAACAATTATAGGATCCCAGTCACTCACGATGGGTTGAGGAACTCCATGTAGGCGTACACCTTCCTTAGCAACCACATCTGCCACTCTTCTTGCTGTAGATGGGTGCTTCAATGGTATTAAGTGACCATATTTGAACAATCTATCTACCACCACAAGAATAGCCTCAAGACCCTTTGACTTCTGGATTCCCACAATGAAGTCCATTGAAATGTCATCCCAACTTCTCATGAATTGGAAGTTGCAGCAAACCCATCGGTGGTGCTGCATAGTTTTGTCATTGCACACATCGCAAAAACAAATTTTTGCAGGGTTTCGTTTGCGTTTCATGTATTCAATAAAGGTTACGCTCAATTCTTTGGTACGTTGGTAGAAACCCCAAATGGCCGCCATTTGGAGAGGAATGGAACTCTTTCGGACACCAAGGGAATACAAAAAGGACTGTTTTTAAAGAACTAGCCTGCCTTGGTAAAACAGCACCCCTTGTTTCAAGCTGAATCCGAGTCAAGCAGCAGGATCTTACTGCTGTTCCAGCATAATATCCTTGAGGACAGGATCTGTCAAAACCTCTTGTTGCACCTGGGACTCATGCAGCCAAATCGGGAACGATGTTAAATCTGTTAATTTCGCATCTTCAGACTTTCTAGACAATGCATCCGCTGCCTTATTTTTCAGACGTGGTTTATACACAACCTCGAAGTGGCGGCCCAAAAGTTTGGCTATCCAATTCTGCTGGTCTGCTGTAGTGATCCACGGCTGCATAAGTGGCGAAGACTTTTCTTGTCTGAGTATACCACAAATTTCCAGTCTAACAAGGATGCCAATGTTGCAGCGCTAAAACAAGAGCCGTCAACTCTTTCTCATAAGCTGGTTTGCTCAAGTTACTCTTCAACAGAGCCTTACCGAAATAAGCAATGGGTTTTTTTCTTTTGCATCAAAACTGCCGAATTCCTTTCCCGTATGCATCACACTTAATCTCGTATGGTTGAGAAAATTCTGGTAGTGTCAACACCAAAGCTTTAACCATTACTCTTTTTATCTGATTAGCTCTTTGAATGCCTCCATAGCTTCAGGTCCCCATTGAAACCCCTTTTTCTTAGTCAATTCGGTAAGAGGCTTTGTTATTTTTCCATACCCCGCGATAAACTTTTGATAATATCCAGTTAGTCCCAAAAATTGTTGCACGCCCTTCACATTGTGAGGAACCTTCCACTCCATCGCACTCTTCACTTTGGCAGGACCAATTGGCACACCATGTTCTATCAGATATTGTATGCCCCAAATACTCAACATGTCCAGCCCCAAAAGCACACTTCTCCAAAATACCCCATACCTGTGTAATTCATCCAACAGCTCCTCTACCACCGGTATAGGGTATTTATCTACCACTGTAACCTTAATTAATTCTCTATAGTCAATGCACATTCTCCATGACATATCCTGTTTCTTTACTAAAATAATGGGACTAGAAAAAAAACTAGTTGTTTCTAATTATACCTTGGCTCAGCATGTCTTGCACATGTTTTTCAATCTCCTCCTTGTGGTGATGGGGACACCGACACGGTGTAACACTCACCGACCCCGCGTCTTTGTGTAACTCAATGGAGAGCGAGACATATCACATATTGGAGGCAGCCATGCAAGATTGTCCTCTATTTCATGCAACAAGTTGAACCGGTGAATCGCCGCACCATCCATGCTCAACTTTGCCAATCTGATCTTCACCTCTACCGACATTCATTGGACTTAAAATACGTTTCAACACACGAAATTCAGTCTTTAGGATCTTCTGTTAAACTGGTATAATATTTTCATATATTTCAATCGTATATTTCAGATGGGAATTGGTTATATTTATTATATACACAGAAAACCCTATTTCTAATTATAACTAAATCAGAATAATTATAACCAAATCAGAAATTAACAATTAATAATTATATTCCTATTATAGTCCCTACAATTTTGTTGACAGCTAACGCTAACACTCCCCCTCAAGTTGGTGCATAGATATCTCGAATGCCCAACTTGTCAAGTGCGTTGTAGAAGTCTCTACTACATACAGCTTTTGTGAGTATATCTGCTAATTGATCTTTAGATTTAACAAACGGAAATTGAATTATCTTGGTCTCCAAATTTGGCTTAATAAAGTGTCGATCTACTTCCACGTGCTTCGTTCGATCATGTTGAACCGGATTATGAGCAATTTCAATTGCAGACTTATTGTCACAAAAAAGATTCATCGCACTATTCGGAGCAAAGCCAATTTCAATTAACAGTCTTCGAAGCCAGAGAAGCTCACAAAGACCTTTAGCCATCCCTCGAAACTCTGCTTCAGCACTTGATAATGCTACAACATTTTGTTTCTTACCTTTCCATGTAACCAAATTTCCTCCAACAAAGGTAAAATAGCCTGAGGTGGATTTTCTGTTGGTGATATCTCCAGCCCAGTCAGCGTCTGTATAACCTTCAACTTGTACATGATTATTCTTTGTGAACATCAAGCCTTTTCCAGGCGAGGACTTCAAGTACTGCATGATTCGAATTACCGCGTCCATGTGATCTTTACTCGGGTTGTGCATAAATTGGCTTACTACACTTACCGCATACGCTATATCAGGTCGTGTATGAGATAAGTAAATAAGTTTGCCAACCAATCTCTGGTACCTTCCTTTGTTTGTTGGCACTTGGTATGGATATTCTCCAAGTTGGTGGTTCTGGACAATTGGAGTATCTACAGGTCTACAATCTAGTAGCCTAACTTCTAATAAAAGATCTAAGATATATTTTCGTTGAGATAAAAAGATGCCTTTCTTTGACCTAGCAACTTCAATACCTAGAAAATATTTGAGTCCACCTAGATTTTTCATCTCAAATTCGGTTGCCAGATGTTTTTGAAGTTTTGCTATTTCCTCAGAGTCATCTCCTGTAATAATCATGTCATCTACATACACAATCAAAGTTGTGACCTTACCTTGACGGTGTTTCAAAAACAACGTATGATCTGCGTTGCTTTGTTGGAAGCCATATTTTTTCATTGCCAAGTTCAATCTCCCAAACCACGCTCTAGGAGATTGCTTCAAGCCATACAAACTGCGTTGCAATTTGCACACCACTTTAGTCTCATAGTTTGTCATGTATCCCGGAGGGATATCCATATATATTTCTTCTTTCAAGTGCCCATGGAGAAAGGCGTTTTTCACGTCTAACTGATGCAATGGTCAATCAAGATTTACTGCAAGAGATAAAAGAATTCTGACAGTGCTCAACTTGGCAACAGGAGAAAAGGTTTCTTGATAGTCTACGCCATATGTTTGTGTAAAGCCTTTAGCTACTAGTCTTGCTTTGTACCTTTCAATTGACCCATCAGCTTTGTACTTGATAGAGAAAACCCACTTACACCCTACTGGTTTCTTTCCTTTTGGTAAAGGGACAAGCGTCCATGTCGCATTTTTGTTTAATGCCTCCATTTCTTCATTCATAGCTTGAACCCATCTAGTGTCTTCAATGGCCTCTTCAACGTTGCTAGGTACACTGTGTGAAGATAGTTCATTTGCAAATTTCTTAAGGGGTTCAGATAATTCCTTCATAGAGACATAATTAGCAATTGGATACCTCGATCGATGATCCTCTTCTTCAGGAGAGTAACGCTTCGGTGGTTTTCCCCGATTATGCCTGTGAGGTAATTCATAGCTAACAGAGATATCACTATTATTATTATCAAGAGATATAGGAGAGCTTACCTCAATGATATTCTCAGGAGATGGATCGTTGAGTACTGGAGAAGGGGGGGGGGGGGGGGGGGGGGGGGGGGGGGGGGGGGGGGGGGATTCTGATACTTCAACTTCAGGACTCATGTGGTCTGTTTGAGTTTGACACGAATCACCAGCCACTTCAGTTGATGGTATATCAATATCTTTGAACCAGTCAAATGTCAACCAATTCAACTCTTCTTCTGGTGTCTCCCCCGGAAGAGAAGAATTGGGTGCTGCCGAGGAGTAGAAATGGTCAAATTCCAAGAATGTAACATCCATAGTTACATAAATGCGTCGAGTAGTAGGGTCATAGCAGCGATACCCTTTCTGGTGTACACCTTATCCCAAAAACAGGCAGCGAATGGCACACGGATCAAGCTTTGTACGCTGGTTTTTATGTAGGTGAACAAACACAACACACCCAAAGACACGAGGTGGCAGCATTTGTATTTTAGGCAGCGGTACAAATGTGGACAAGGTCTGCAGCGGAGTTTTAAATTCAAGAACCTTCGATGGCATCCGATTGATGAGATATACTGCTGTAGTAACAGCATCAGTCCAATGGTGGTGAGGCACATGTGCTCCATGTAAAAGAGCGCGAGCAGTTTCAAGGATATGGCGATTTTTCCGTTCTGCAATACCATTTTGTTGTGGAGTTTGTGGACACGTGGTTTCGTGAATAAGTCCGTGTTTTTTTTTAAATACTCATGGAATTGGTGATTTACAAACTCCCCACCATTATCAGAGCGAAGGATCCTAATCTTCGTTGAATATTGAGTCTGAATCATTTTATGAAATTGTTGAAATATGTGTACCACTTCATTTTTTTTGTTTCAACAAATAAATCCAAGTCATTCGAGTGCAATCATCAACAAATATAACAAACCACCGATAACCAGAGAGAGACGATTTTGGGGATGGACCCCATACATCAGAATGGATTAAAGCAAAAGGAACATTACTTTTATTCATACTTGATGGAAAAGTGACTCGATGACTCTTGGCTAAAATACAAGCTTCACATTTGAAGTTCAACAAAGATTTATCTGAAAATAAGTTTGGGAACACATGTTTCAAGTAGCCAAACGAAGGATGGCCTAATCGACGATGCCAAAGTAAGACTTGCTCCATTTTGTTGTTTCTTGGATAATGCATGTGATGCGCTCGGCCTACACTAAAATCTTCCATATAGTAAAATCCCCCTCTCTTAGTACCACGCCCAATGATCTCCTTCGTGAGAATATCCTGAAGAAAACAGAAAGATGGATAAATTAGAACAAAACAGTTCAAGTCTTTTGTAACTTGACTCACAGACAACAACTTATGAGATAGAGAGGGAACAAGTAGTGTATTTGAAAGCAAAAGGGTTGGTGATAACATCACAGTTCCAGCCCCTGTTACCGCCGATAAATCACCATTTTCGTTGGCAATACTTGAGCGCCGAGGGGTTGAACGTTCAGAAAAATCAGCAGCATCAAACGTCATATGATCGGTAGCTCCGGAATCAAGTATCCATGCGTTAGAGTCATCATCATGATTAGAGCAAATTAGAACATTACCTTCAGTGGTGTGGGAACTTGATTTCGGAATGAGGGAAAGATGTGGTTCAGCAGTAGCTACTGCAGCTTTGCCCGGGTTGCTCTCAGTTGTTTCGCGACGCTTTCGAGCCTGAAAGTCTGTCCACCAGTCTGGATAGCCATGGAGCTTAAAACATGTCTCACTAGTATGTTTGTTACCTCCACAATGAGAGCACTTAGTGTCATTAGATGGTTCTTTATGTTTGGATTGAGAAAATATCTTACTGTTCTGTAATTTGAGACCCTTGGATGCAAGACCTGCTCCTGATAATTCATTGGAGTTGTCTGTCATCACTGCCGGACGAAGAGCTTCCCTCCTAACATGTGCATATGCTTGCTCCACTGTTGGAAACGGTTTCATTTGTAAAACGTCGCTTCTGATATTATCCAAGCGGTCATCAAGTCCATCCAAAAACACATACACTCGTTCTTCTTGGACAAGTGTATTGTAGTGTTGGATATCAACTTGACATGTCATCGGATTTGGACGACGAAAATCTATCTCACGCCAAAGTCCTTGGAGATCGTTATAATATTTTTCAAGAGAACCACCGACTTGTTTAAGATGTGTCACCCGTCGCCGAAGGTCATACACTTGGGAGGTATCACTGCCATCGAAGTACGTGGTCGCAATTGCATCCCACACCAGTTTGGCAGTGGAGAATCGAATAAAGTTGCTGATTAGAGAGGAGTCCATTGAGTTGATTATCCATCCCTTAACAATCGCATTGTCAGTCCGCCAACGTCGAAATGTAGGATCTGTTTGAGGGGGTTGCGAGAAATCTCCGTTGATATATCCCAGTTTGTCTTTGCCCGAGATATACATCTCGACCACCTGGGACCAAAGGGGATAGTTGCTGCCATCTAACTTGATGCCAATCGGTGTCACCGTATGGTCAGAGCCAATTTGTGACGGGGCTGAAGCACGGTTCAGGACTTCCGTCATTTTCGTCGTCAACTCAGCAAGAATAGAAGACGAGGTAGTCTCATCGGAGTTTGAATCCGAGTCGGCCATGGAAGAAGGATGGAAAGTGTTACCGTAGGTCTGGATTAAGACCTGGCGGCTGATACCGTGTTAAACTGGTATAATATTTTCATATATTTCAATCGTATATTTCAGATGGGAATTGGTTATATTTATTATATACACAGAAAACCCTATTTCTAATTATAACTAAATCAGAATAATTATAACCATATCAGAGAAATTAACAATTAATAACTATATTCCTATTATAGTCCCTACAATTTTGTTGACAGCTAACGCCAACACCTTCATCATCAAATGACAGCAACCCCGCTTTCTTCATCACCATTTTATACTCTGTTACTGACCCCTCCGAGAACACGGTTGTTCCACACGGTCCGATGTTTATCGCTCCATCATCTTAGCAAACTCAGTCATCATCCTCTCACGAAAGTCCCCCACCATCATCTCTCGAAACTCCCTCAGCTTGCGACGCGCGGAGCCCTTTACCACTCTTCTATTGAATCCATTTGATTTTCCATCTTTGGTGGCATGAACATGGAATCGCTAGTACCTCTTGAGGATCCGACAAGTCGAACCAATGATGGAACTCACAGGAAATGAAGTAATAGAACAGTAAAGTATGAATGGACTGAATGGAGTTATTTGATTAATGGAAAAAGAAGGATGCAGTTACAAGCATGAACTAAAGCAATTGCCCTTCCAGAGAATGAATTCTTCTCCTACTACAATAACAGCAGTAGTCATGCATGCTTATCCTCTCCCTTCTCCTCACACTATATTCCCCATACTCTAACAACTGTTCCTGAAATTGTGGGCAATTTCACTAACTAACTTCTCCTTCCAGGTATTTCTTTCCCCTACAGGTGTAAACTCTCCACACAGCCGGCTTGGGCCTAACTTCAGCACTCTCGTTTTCATAAGGCCCACTAATCACCTTCGCAAAATTTTGAGCTCACGAATATTAAATGGAGAAATAATTCTTTTTATAATCACCAATTGACCATACTTGCTATACAAATTATAGACCCCATTTCATCAGTGTACACCTATAGTTGTGACACAAAATACAAGACATGCATAAAAGTAAAGTCATGCATATCAACGGCATGCAAAGTGCAAACTAAAAATTAAAATTGACATTGAGTTACCTGCTGATGAAAAACTCTCCATGTCGGTCTTCAAGAATCCCATAAACCATCCATGATGCAAGCTGATTATACATGACCTGATGCCCATGCCAGAGAAGCCTAAGCTTTGGACAATAACAACCCAAAAAAGAAAATAATAATTAGCAGAGAGGGTAATCCAAAGATCAATACAAACGCCTAGAGACCAGTAGAACCATAATAAACAAATAGGTTCTTAAAAGAAATTCATCCTTAACATGCAATGCAACCGAACCCAACATGATCATTTTTTTATTTTTCCATTATAAATGTCTATAATTCTCTTTCTAGTTTCTACATTAAAAACTGTAATAGCTACTAGCATTAAAAAAAAGGATTAAAAACGGTAAGTACTTATTGACTAACAGTTTAACTTAACATCAAAATATATACAATATCATACACTTGTAAATGACATAACAAGCATCTTAACAATGCCGAAAATATAACGCGTGAAAAACACTGCACACCTCTGTATACAAGTTTGTAATTCAGGAACTCCACAATGGCATTTTTTATGTAAAAGGTTAAGAAGCTGACCACCACGAATATCACCGCGCTCAATCTCTAGGATGAGTTCATACAAAGGTGGCAAAAGGGTAAAAAACTAAAAAAACACAACAAAACAAAAAACAAAAAACAAAGTCAGAGTCAAACTAAAACTAAACATTAAAAAGGAAGGAAACAAGGGAACATAGAAATTTAACCTTGTTAAGGCCTTGAGTAACTGTTGCCAAAATGGGCATTGTTTCCGACAACAACAATTGTTCAATATGCAGAATCGAAGACGTATAAACCGATAGTATCTCAACCATGCCATTAGCAATAGCCCTACGGTAAACACTAGGCTTCTCCTTATTCTCCAAAAGCTTAGCATTTTCAGACCTTATCCAGTTTAAATTCCTAGACTTTGCCGAAAACCGCTCTAACTCTCTATAATAAAACCCTAAAGTGATTATCCTCTCAATAAGTTCCCTGCAATCAACACAATTCACTCCACAATTGAAACCACAAGAAATTTATTTAAAAAAATCACAATGCAAACAAAACATTTTGGGGTTTTAGAAAAATAAACAAAAAATTGAACGAACCTGTCACTTGGATCGATGAAGGAAATGTCGGGAGCAAGATTAAAAGTGCATTCGTCGGAGATGGGAGTAACGGCGGAGAGATTGTCTCTCCGGTCGATGATTAGGTCGCCGGTGTAACCTAATAACGCTAAGAGAAGCTCGTGCAACATTGTTGTGTGTTGAGAAGCTAACCTATTATCATTTGCGGTGAAGAACGATGAAGAAATTGGAAGTGAAAGAGATTTGAATTTTGGTTGAGTTGAAAAGAGAGTTCAAAGCGCCATTTTTTGTTTCTGTTAACTGCTACAAGAACGGGAAGGGATTCTCTACCGGGACTGATTCTCTTTTCCAGGGTAAACAAAACCGGACCGGACCGGCTAATTATTTCTGAAAACCGCTTTGTAATAAAACCGGAGTGAGAACCGGAAACCGGATAAAAACCGTTAAAACCGGTCAAAACCGGCGTTTAAGAGGTTCAAGAGGTTGTTGGATCGTTTTTTCTTTAACTCCAATTAGAAATCATGCCTACTCTTTCATTTTTTTAGATGAATGAACTGCTACCATTTTACACCAAAGAAGAAATTTTAGTGTTGTGTTGTTTAGAACAAGAGATAAGTGACAAAAAATAGATAGAGTAACTTAAACAAATTGTGAAAAAGAAAACAGGTTAATAGCATAGAAAAAGGTGTCTCTAAGGGTGTGTTTGGTTCGGGGTAGATGGAGGGGAGGGGAGGGGAGGGGAAATTTTTAATTAAATATGTTTGGTTCAAATTTTAGGAGGGGAGGGGAGGGGAGGGGAGGGGAGCAAAATCCCTCCAAAACACACTTTTTGGTTCCCTCCGAATTGGGGGGATTTGGAGGGGAGGGGAGGGAATATGAGTTTTAATATTTAAAATTTATTATATTTACTAAAATATCCTCAATTTAATTTTATTATTTCAAAACTATTTGTTATCTTTTGTGTTACTGTTTTTTCTCGATTGTTTTCATCAACTTATTATAATTGTTCTCCACCTTCAAATTATTTTATAATTTTTATAATTAATATAAATCATAATCATTGTCTTTTTTTTAATAAAAAAATTATGTTTCGTTATATTCGTTTTTTTCTTTTAATTTTGTTATGTACTCTATCATATTTTCTTTTATATCAAATTGTAAACCATATCATTTTATTTATTTTTGTTTATTCATTTTATTAAATATTTTGCACCATTAATATTTAGTAATAAGTTATTTTATATATTTGTTTTGTTATATGATTCATCATAATTTAAACGATGTTATTGGCATATAGTTTAATTTATGTTGGAAAGTTATAAGTCAAATCAATTATACTCAATTTTTTAACTTTATGTGACAAATAAATATTTTTTTAATCACTCAATATTAGAAATTTTATTATCAACAAAAATACGCACGAATTTTTCACATTTTAATATCGTATGACTTATATAAGATCATAAGGATAAAAATGTAAATTATTAATAAAACCCCTCCCCTCCCCTTCTGAACCAAGCACATTTTTAATTAAAATCCCTCCCCTCCCATCCCCTCCTCTCTTTTGAACCAAACACTTATTTGATTAAAAAATTCCTTCACCTCCCCTCCCCTCCCCTCCCCTTCATTAAAATCCCTCCCCTCCCCTCCCCCTCATTTGAACCAAACAGACCCTAAGTGTCTGAGATATCCAATATTTGTATGACACTCGTGTAATATATGTAAAAAAAAAGTCAAATAAGTGTTTGAGGTAAATATTTTTTAAAAAATTAATTTTTTTTCTCTACTTTCAACACATTTTAAATCGATATCTGATACCCATATGATACTCATAAATTACGTAGTAGATTTCAAATAAATTTTCTTTAAAAAGTTGTATTATTTTTTCTCAACACACTTTATATATTTTCTAAACAAGTCTCATGCACAATTAAAAAGTTAAACATGTATTGAAGCTATGTTATAAATAAAGAATTAAAGATATTAATTTTTATTAGAATATTTTAACTCTTTTGATATTAGATGATTAAATGAAACTCAAATATTATGACATATATAACGGTGTCGATAGAATATCTAAGATTTTTGACATATTGATGTCGAAGTGTCTATGTCAATGTCGTGTCACGGTATTCGTGTCAGAGTTTGTATTTCATAGTTAATAGCTAGAGAAAAAGCTACTAGATAGAATACTTAAATGTGTAAGTGTGGAGTCCAAATATGGGAATAAACATTTCTTTGTCTAATTGAATGACATGTGGTATAAATTGATATCAATGTCTAAGATTACTTTTACTATTTTATGTTTAATAAATAAAATTTATATAAGTTTTGGAAAGAAAACATCTCAAGTGTTTGGAGCGAAAATTTTCAGAAAAATTGGGAAACATGAAACTCATAGTAATGACATCTTCTTCAAGCATATCAATCTCAATCACACAAATCAGAAACTACATCACACCATAATCTCCATACTCTTTTGTCACTCTTTTATACAATCTCATTCACTTCTTACTAGTAATGTTTACCTTACTTCTGTGTTATCTCATTATCGCGCTTTCGTGTCGTTGTGTAGCTGTGAGTTGGGTGCAAAATGCAAATATCTTTAAGCATTTTATTGCCTCATTATCATACACGTAAGAACATTAACCATTTTTATAAGAACTCAATTGAACTAATAATTATTCTTTAAAATTATTTTTTCAAAAAATATTCCATTTTTAATCAATATACAAAAATGTACTTGAATTTATATATGTGACACATTGAATCTATTTTTCATTAGAAATTCCAAGTGAGTTGCCAATTTTAACTCTTCAAGGTGTAGTTCAATGGTTCAATAACATCCATGAAAGTATTTTTCCAAATAGTGAAGAGAATTTTGTTGATCATACACCATGCTCGAAAATGTAGTTTGAATCTGAGGCAACTGCCTATAAGTTTTATAATGAGTATAGTAGGAGAATTTGATTTGGTATACATCGAGAATATGACAATAAAAGCAAAATAGATGGAGTTTTGACTTCAAGAAGATTATCGTGTTTTAAAGAGGGAAAACAGGGCATTGACAAATGAGATCACTTAACAAAAGAGTCTAGAGTAGAAAATATAACAGGATGTAAAGCACGTATAATTATTTCATTTGATCGAAAAATTGGGAAATACAAGGTTGTTGACTTTGTATCTGAACATAATCGCCCTCTTCAACCACCGGGATATGTTCATATGATTCGCTCTCATCGACGCATATCTAAGGTACAAGTGTCACAAATTGTGTTCGTTGATGAATCAGGATTAAAACCAAAAGATTTTCATGAGTATGTGTCCAAGCAAGTTGGTGGAATAGACATTGTTGGTTATACAAGACAAGACCATAAGAATTACCTTCGAACTAAAAGGAATCATTCATTAAAATATGGTGAAGTGGGTGCATTGTTGATGTATTTCAAAGGACAAAGTGAAAACCATTCATTCTCTTATGACTTTCAAATGGATGTTGAAGAACAAATAACAAATATATTTTGGGTCGATGCACATATGATAAATGATTATAGATATTTTGGTGATGTCATCACTTTTGATACAACTTACAAGACGAAAAAGGATTACTGACCATTGGGTCACATGTACTCATCATTTTTCATACTTTTGGTTGCATGTACTCATCATTGACATGTTTCTAGTATTTGGCAATTGGTTGTAAAAGAATGGTAATTATTGGTCTCTCTTATTTTAGTTTTATACAAAAATGCTTTGAGTATAAGCTACAAGGATATTTTTAGGAGTTGAAGGCTAACGTTTGAAGCATGGGAGAGTGGCAGAGGGTAAGACGGATGAATGATAGAAAACTAAGGTCTAACATCTGGGATTCTTTCATTGCAAAAGGAGGTTCTCGTAAGAGTGGCGTAGAAGGGATACAATCTTTTTACATTTCGGAGTTCCCGAATAATGTTAGAGCTAAGAAGTTATTCAAGCTCTTTAGTTATTTTGGGAAGGTGACGGAAGTGGTTATCCCACCTAAAAGGAACAAATACGGTAAGCGCTTTGGTTTCACCAAGTTTGCTGATGTTGAAGATGGCAGAGTCTTAGCAATCAAACTGGACAACATTTTTGTTGATAAGGTGAAAATCCATGCTAACATTCCTAGGTTTTCTAGGTTGGAAAAAGAATCAAGGGGGAAAGATCATCTTGTTATCAAGAGAACTATCAATCTTGATAGAACTGACATAGGGAATAACAATCTTGATAGAACTGACATAGAGAAGAAGGGATCGAAAGAAGTTATTCGTGGGAATATAACTTATGCAGAAGTCATTTTCAACGATAGAAACAGGAACTATAGAGATCAACCTAAGTAGGAAAGGATTCATTTGAGGTATGAAGTGCCAGCGGAAGACATGGATAGATTTAAGAAGGCTTATATTGGAGTGGTAAAAGAGGTTAGGATGACCTATAACATTCGAACAAGCTTTGAGATTGAGATTGAGATTGAGGGGTATTTTACTATTAAGGTTACCCCGCTAGGGGCTAACTTCTATTTACTGAAGAGAATGAACCTGGAGAGAATAGAGACTTAATACATGAAGTAGAATCGTGGTGGAACTAGTGGTTTCTGGAGATAAAAGAATGGAAGAAAGATATGGTGGACAAACAGAAGGTGACATGGTTGAGATGTTATGGCATTCCTTGTCGTGCATGGAACTACAATTTCTTTGATATTTTAGCTAAAACGGTGGGAAGATATGTGTGCTCTGATGATAATACGTTGAAGGGGGTGTATGGATGTAGCAAGAATATTGGTGAAGACGCATTGTGTGGTGGTGATTAATGAATCCTTCATAGTTTTGATCAATGATGAGGAGTTTAACATCAAGATGTGTGAAGATTTTCATGGTCCGTTAAGGAATGTGGCAAATAAAATTGATAAAAAAGTGGTAGATATTAGTTCTTCTTCTAAATCAGAATGTAACTAGAGCCATTTAGGTGAGGAGGAGGAGGATTATGAGGTGTGGGATAAAGGAGGGGATAAGGAGAACGTTGATGTCAGAGACATAGCTAACTTCCCTCCGGTTGGGACGATGACAACAGAGGAGAAGTTAGCTTTGGTTCTCGAAAGAAATGATGTTACTGCAAAGGCGACTACAGACTCACAACAGAAGGTGGTTGAGTCTTTGAGAAGAGGTATTCAGTTTGATGCGGTTCTCGAAGCGGTTAAAAAGACAAAGACAGTTGGATCTAGGGAGGTGGTAAGGGGTGATAGTGATTTTTCGTTGGAAGTTGAAGATACTTTTTAGGATCCTCTGCTTCATAGTAATAAGGATGTCTTAACCATGTACGGGGATGGAGGAAAGATAGGGAAAAGCAAAAAAGTGGAGTTGAGGAATATTTCAGAAGTTATTAGGCCTTTTACTAGAAAGTCTAAGTCTAAGACTAAGAGGAGTTTGGGTCGGGTCGATTTCGTTGGGCTTGGGGATTCTGAGGATCCTATTGAAGACTTATCTCAACCCTATTTCTTTGATGTCATTAACAAAATCCCTAATGTTTCTATCAATTATCGCAACCCTAATCTTCGTAATTACGGGGAAGAGGAGTCAGAAAACTTTTCAGCAGGAGCCATTTTGTGCTGTGATCAAATCTTTGATTCAGATATGAGATATTACAATCAAAATTTATGGAATAACTTGGAGTTTAATTTAGGTAAGAAGATTTGGGGAGATATTTCAAAGTTGGGGTGGTGGCTTGCGATAGATTAATAGATTATCGAAGGAAGATTGCAGAATTTGAGGCGGTGGATAAAAGGAGTTTTGTAGGTCAGAAGACGAATTCTAAAGAAGATCAATGATTATATGATCATTGAACATAAGAGGGGGAGGATATTTATCCAAAATGAGAAGAATCAGTGAAATCATCCAGAAAGGGAAAGGTGATATCTTCTGCATCCAAGAATCAAAACTGAGCACAGTGGAGGAGAAGACTATTAGAAGTATGCGGAATCATGGAGAGGTTGATTGGTATTTTAGTGGAGCTCAAGGACAATATGGTGGATTAATTACTATATGGAATGTTAAGGTTATCAAGTTTCTTTACTCTTTTAGAGGAGACAGTTTTCTCATGATCAACTGATTTGGAAGGAGGAAATCTTTGTAGTGGTCAATGTTTACTCAAGGTGTGTTATGTGTGATAAGAGGAAGATGTGGAATGTTCTAATTAAGTCTAAAGCTTCAATGTCATATGGTATTTGGATTCTTGGTAGAGACTTTAATGTCACATATTTATCTTTAGAGAAAAGGGGAAAGAGAAACAAGGTTAATAATTCAGAGTTGAGTGGATTCGATGGTTTCTTCTCAAGTATGAATGTTGTTAACTTACCTATTGTTGGGAACTGGTTATCTTGGTTCAGTAGTGATGGTAATGCTATAAGTAGATTAGATATATTATTATTTGAGGAAGTTTTTATTCATAAGTGGGGAGTGATGGACCAGGTGATAGGTAGAAGGGATATATCTGACCATGCTCTTATCTAGGTGAAGATCATGGATATTAATTGGGGTCAAAAACCTTTTAAAACTAATAACTGCTGGTTTGAAAATCCAGAGCTTAGTTTTCATGATAAGGAGTGGAAGGGGTGGATAATAGAGGCAAGATTGATTTTATTGTGAAGGAGAAATTTATATTGTTGAAGAGGAGTATCATCAGGTGGAGGAATGAGGTTTTTGGTTGGTATGACCTCAACATGGAGAAGGATATTGATGTTTTGAACCAAGCTGATGAGCAGTTAGCTACGGTTAGTGAGGGTGATGTGCAAGAGTGGGTTGATAAAAGAGAAAAGGCTTGTAAGGAATTTTGGAAGAAGCTGAATATGAAGGAAAAAATGTTAAAGTAGAAATCTAACTTGAAGTGGTTAAATGAAGGCGATTGTAACTCTAAATTTTACCATAATTACATCAAAGGTAAACTTAGGAGGAAATGCATTGGTAGGGTGGTTACAGACAGTGGTTCGATGGATTCGGTAGTTGAAGTTAAGGAAGCGATGAGAAGTTATTTTATGGATAAGTTCACAGAAAAGGAAAATCTTAGACCTGTTTTAGATAGGTTCAGTTTTGGTAGGCTTTCCCTTAAAGATGTGGATTTCTTGGAAAGGCCTTTCACTGAAGAAGAAATAAAGAACGCGGTTTGTAGCTGTGACGATTCTAAAAGTCTGGGTCCTGATGGATATAACGTGTTGTTTATTAAGAGTTGTTAGAGCTTTCTGAAGGAAGATATCACTAGGTTCATTATAGATTTTCATGAATTCTCTTATTTTCCTAAAGCAATTTGCTCGTATTTTTTAACCCTGATCCCTAAAGTAGATAGCCCTTTATATCTGGGTGAGTATAGACCCATCTGTCTGGTTAGGATTCTTTACAAGATATTGGCGAAACTGTTGGTGGAGAGATTGAATATGGTGATTGGTAAGATCATTTCTCATAACCAGACTGCTTTTGTGCTAGGGAGGCACCTTTTGGATGGAGTGGTTGTTGCAAATGAAACAGTGGACAAGGCTACAAGAGAAGGCTTGTGTTATGTTGAAAGTCAATTCCGAAAAAGCCTACAATAGTGTGAGTTGGAATTTTCTTCGCTTTATGTTAACTAAGATGGGGTTTGGCAGTAGATGGCTTATGTGGATGGAGGCTACTATATTCAAGTGTCATATGTCAATTTTGGTTAACGATATTCCTACAACTGACTTTAAGGTGGAAAGAGGATTACGACAAGGAGATCCCCTCTCCCCGTTTCTACTCGTGATTGTGGCGGAGGGCCTTGCTGGTTTAATGAGAGTGGCAGTGGAAAATGGTAAGTTTAAAGGTTTTAATGTTGGAGTTTGTAATCATGTGGAGCTGATTCAGTTTGCAGATGTGTTGGCTCCTAATTTTCAACGCTAGTCGAGACCGGAGCTATCTTAGGTCAAAATTACCAGTATCTGGTATGTGGGAGGGTTTCAACCCAAACAAGGAAAACTTCAAGTCGAAGAAAGATGGACCAAGGTGCCAAAAAACTCTAAGTGTTGGAAAATGCTCGACGAAGACCATGTTAAGGAAAACACGAAGACGGTTTCACCAAGTTGGAGGGAACTACCAAATATTCAAAATTCAAATCAAGCAAAAGAGAATGTGTGAGCGGTTGGAGTAGCAAAGAAGCGCCAAAAGAGCATGTTAAGAAGTCTCAACCGCCATGTAGTAGTTATTCTATAGCACTATAATAGGTGTTAATTTTATGTAATAGAGGTGTTCATTCATTTTTTACTAGTTCATACAACTCAAAGTACCCGCGTGTAGAGAAACGAGTTAAGGATAATAGTTTGAACTATTATCCTTAACTCGTTTCTCGTTAACTCGTTTCTCTACACGTGAGTACTTTGAGTTGTATGAACTAGTACAAAATGAATGAACACCTCTTTTACATAAAATTAACACCTATTTATAGTGCTATAGAATAACTACTACATGGCGATTGAGACTTCTTAACATGCTCTTTTGGCGCTTCTTTTCTACTCCAACCGCTCACACGTTCTCTTTTGCTTGATTTGAATTTTGAATATTTGCTAGTTCCCTCCAACTTGGCGAAACCGTCTTCGTGTTTTCCTTATCATGATCTTCATCGAGCATTTTCCAACACTTAGCGTTTTTTGGTACCTTGGTCCATCTTTCTTCGACTAGAAGTTTTCCTTGTTTGGGTCGAAATCCTCCCACATACTAGATATTGGTAATTTTGACCTAAGATAGCTCCGGTCTCGACTAGCTTCGAAAATTAGGAGCCAACAAATTGCCCCAAAAAATTGTCCTTTCGCCAGTCTTGGATAGGAAGGACAGTTTTTCCTATCGTTTTTGACGCGTATCACTTTGCATGGCTTTGATTGAACTCCCACTATTCGTTTAGTGGCCCAACTGTTTAGTTCTTTTCCTTCCACGTTTATGACATCAAAATGAGATGAAACATACACATCAACAAGCTTTATATATTGCTTCAATTTAGTACAAGAGAAATACAAACATAAACACAATTTTTCAATCATGTTGTATCTAGTTTCTGCATCATTTAAAACTCTACTTAGATAATAAATGGCTCTTTCAACTCCATTCTCATCCTCTTGAGCCAACATGCTCCCTAAGGTTTCATCCGATACGGCTATATATAACCTCATACTTTTATTTTTACATGGTGGAGATAAAATTGGCGGGTGACTCAAGTACTCCTTGATCTTGTCTAAAGCTCCTTGTTGTAATTTCCCCCACTCAAAATTATCTTTGTTGAAACGAAACAACAGTGAAAAAGCTTGCATCTTGCCACTTAGGTTGGAGATGAATGTTAGAACACCGAT